CTTCCTCCTCCTCCCCTTGCAGCAAGGTTCTCTTCCCAGGCCCATATCCACCTGGTTCCAGTGGCACTGGCCATCCTGGGCCTGGGCTCCCTGGGGCCTGGCTCTCGTTTCCTGCAGGTGGGGACACTGCTGCCTAAGTCTCAGGCTGCTGTGCCTCTGACCTTGCTTGTGTGCCACTGTCCGCTTTAAAAGGCTATGACACTCTGCCAGGTTCTTTTCTAAAACTCACCACGGCCACCTCCCCTTCTTGCCCTATTCCCTGCCCTCACGCAGGGGCCTCCCTCCCTCTGGGCCCCAGACTTGCCCCCCCACCATTGCTCCTCCCTTCTTCCCACCTTGTTAGCACGGTGGTTCGTCACCTAGGGGACCTGCTGGGGACAGCTGAGGACAGCCAGAGACACAGGTGATCGTTGTAGGGAGGTCGGGGTGCAGCTGGACACCTGGGTCCCCTACTGTAGCGGCCACTCACTCTGTCTCCCCTTACATCCCTGCAGGGACTGATTGCTGCTCACTGAGTTCCCCCTGAGCAACCACCACCTCCAAGCCTTGCAGGGATGAAGGGGCTGCACCCCACGCTACTCCCTCTGGTGGCTCCCTGCCCAGAGGATGCTCCTGGCCTGGCTCTCCCTGCTCCCACTCAGCTCCGCTCTGCCGTCTGCCCATGAAGACCTGCCTCCGGGTCTCCATGCCCAGGGCGAGCCTCTCTCTCTGTGGCATCCCTGATGGAGTCCAGCTCCAAGCTCCCCAGGGAGCCGGATTATTGAACCTTCGAACCCCAGTGGACTTGCTACAGAAGACAGGAGAGTGTGTCTCCGAAATCCAGCTCCAGCCTCAGGCTGCCCTTCTCCCCAGCCTCACAGCGGGGCCCTGGGCTCCTGATCTCACGCAGATCAGATCGGGGCCCTGTTGTCTTTGTTTCCAGCAGCAGGAAGAGACAAGGGCCAAAAGCCAAGGAGTGCCTGCGGTTGGATTTGTCCCTGACAAGTTGTGCGAGAGTCCATTTTACTCTGCCTGTAGCACAGTGCCACAGACTGGTGAGTTATAAAGAAAAGATATTATCTTGGTTCAGTCCTAGGTGTGCAAGGCCCCTTGGCCTTATCTGGGATGGGACATCATACAGTGAGTGTCAGGGAGTGTGCATGTATGAGTGTGTGTGTGTGTCCTGGCCTCTCACCTCTTCCCATAAAGCCAGCAGGCCTGGACAAGGGCTACGCCCTGAGGACTGTATCTAACCTTTGTCTCTCCAAAAGCCCCACCTCAGGAGACACCCAAACCGGGTCCAAGCCACAGCCTCTGCCGTGACAAAGTAAGACAGACAGGTGGTGTGAACAGCAAGGATTTGTCTGAAAGGATGGTGTCACCCACTTGGTTTGATCCCAGGCCTCTCTCCTGGGCCTGCATCTTCTCCGTGCCCTCACAGGGCCATGCCCCCCAATCTTCTGGGGGCTCCAGCCACCTTGAATCGGGCCCCCCTCCAAAGACCCATCTTCGAGGACAGACACGCTGTGGGTCCCGGGCAGCCGTCGGGTCTTTGCAGGCGGTGATGCTCCCAGCGGGGCAAAGCCAGAGTGGGAGAGGAGACAGGGGCCTGGTGCGGTCTGAGCTGGCGCAGGCAGGGGAGCCGACTGTTCTGGCAGAGCCCTTGCCGGGCACCACCCCCAGGTGCCTGCCCGCTGCCCCCTTGGTGCTGGCCAGGGCCAGGCGGAGTAGAGAAACCACAGCTGGCCTCTGCTGTGCCTGTTTCTCCACCTGCCATTCAGGGAGGGCCCTGAGGAGCTGTGAGCTGGAAGGGTCTGAGCCCAGGAGGCCCTGTGACCTCTGGACCCCAGCCACACACGCGGGGGACACCTTTCTCAGGACCAGGGTGCCCCTCACCTGGGGCAGCAGAGAAAAACATAGGCCCTGGGTCCAGTCTCAGACCAGCCAGGGCTCCTAGTCCCTGGGAAGAAAGCCCTAGCTGTTTTAAGGGATGGCGTCCTGCCCTGACCCAGAGCTGGATTGGACCTTCTTTTGCGTGCAAAGGAAAATTCCTGTGAGAAAATCCATCTGCACAGAGCCCCAGCCTCGCCGGGGTATGAGGACCAAGGAGCACACGCCACCCATTGGCCAGCTGCTGCGGGGGGCACCAAGTGTGGGCCCCGCTGAGCCCCTCTGCACGAAAGCACTTTCCCCGGATGGTGACTCAGCGGCTCTCCCAGGTGAGGTCCAGCCTGGGCTCCCCAGTACAAGGTCCTGGGCCCAGCCCCTAATCCGGGCCGCCTGGGAAGCATGAGGCCAGGCAACCCCAGGGCCAGCTGGCTGGGGCAGGGGGGACACAGACACAGGGAGGCCCTGCTCCCTGCCAAGTCCCACTGCCACAAAAGGCCGTTGTTTTCCACTCCGGCCCTGGGGCTCCTCCGGGTTGGCAAGCCAGGGCCTCAGCTGTGTGGCTTTCCAGGGAGAAGGGAAGCCGGTAGGGCCAGAAGCCCAGGGGCTGCAGCTGCTGCACAGATGGAGGGAGGAGCCCAGAGAGGAACAGCCGTGGGCGTGAGGGGAAAAACCCAGCTGGAAGGAGGCCTGAGTCAGGGGACCTGGCTGCTCTTCTTACAGCGCTGGGCAGATGAGCTACCGCCCCCTAGTGGACTCCTGCACCATTACAGGCAGGACCTTGTCCATTCCAGGGAGTGACTCGCAGAGCAGAGCCCAGGGCCAGAAGGACAAGGAAGGGACAGCCTTCCCCGAGTCCATGCAGCTCCGAGCCTGCAAGGTCCCAGCCCAGGGCACTCCACCCACGTGAGAGTGGAGGAGGTGGCCTCTCGTGAACGGCCGGTGACGCGAGACCGTGTTCCTCCTGTCCTCACTTGCAAATCTGGTGTCCAGGGAGCCGGCTGTGAGGACCCCGCCCTTGTGCACGGGATGAAGACTCTTCCGGAAGAGGCATCCGGAAGAGTGCCCATTCCTCCTTTTTCCAATTTTATTTTCTTAGTAGTGTGTGTTTGCAGTGCCTAACGATCGCGTTCCTCTTGGGGAGTGGTACAGAGACAGGATGCGTCTCAATTCTTGTTTCACCCCCTTCCTCTCCTCTCCCTTCCCCTGCCCTCCATCTCTGTTCCCCTTCCCCATTAGAGAAAGATCCATCTCCTTGTTTCCTGCCATCTGTCTTTCATGTTGCTCTTACCTTATATTTTGGGTGTCTCCTAGAAGAGAGACCGTGTGATAAACCAGCTTGTGTGTGTCTGGTTTCTTCCACTTAACAATGTGGTCTCAAGGTGCACCCGTCTTCCTGCAGAGGACGTGGGCTGGGGAGGACCCTCGGAACTGCACTCCGGCTGCACCAGGAGTAACATCACTCCCTTTTGCCCTCTGCCTCCTGGGAACACAAGGAGAAGGGCTCCCGAGATCACCGCTGGACTGTGGGACTTTCGCCTCTGGAGCTGGGGGGAAGGCGTCTCTACATTTCGTCAGAAACTCTGTCGTAATAACACGGCCACACTGCGAAAGGAGGTAAATTGTTTCCTTAACATTTTAATTGTGTTATCCACCACACAAACCTGATCGTCTTAACCATTTTTTTTAATGAGCCATAGTTCTTTCGTATCTAACAGGTAGTCCCTGTTTGATTTTCTTCCATTCCTTCAAGAATTTTTACACCTATATCCTTAGTGAGTTATTACAAAAATACAGCAAAAGCACATCTTAGAAAATGGTCATGTGACAACAGACAAAAACACAGGACCTCAATAGATCTGAGAAGTTTCCAGTTACTAAGTGTACGCCTGCCTCCAGGAAACTGGGCGTTCTATTGATAGAGCAATAATACATAGTAAGACAGGCCTTTGCCTTGCCTCAATGGGTTTTTCCATAAAATGTTTTGTAATTGAACTTCGTGACCCTTCAAGAACCTTCTGCTAGCTCCGCCCCTTTCAGGAATGTTCTGGAGCTCTGCCCCTGCTTCTGTGAGCATGATCACATGGCATGTGTTTCAGGAATGTTCTGGAACTCCGCCCCTGCTTCTGTGAGCATGCTTGTCAACTGGGTAGGTTCCTATCTAGAGAGGCTCCCATTTCCGGTGAAGTGCTCAAACTTCAGAGTACAGCCCCTCTGCGCTTGGCGGTGTGATAAAAGGTTTTTCTCCACCTCTTTGAGTGGCCTTCAGATCTAGACCTTCAGGGTCCAGCTCTGGCTGGATGTGAATGGGTAATGCAAGGCCAACATCTGTGAGGAAGGAGAGTTGCGTCTCTTCTGAGGGGCCAAGGTGGCCTTGTGACTCCTGGAAGGGTCACTGCCTGGCTGAGAGAACCAGCGTCAAAGGAAGAATCAGGCCTGTCACGGATGGGAGCCTCGCGTGTGACAATCCACGCCTATGACCAGAAAAGCACACGCTGAGCAAGCTGCTTCGGGGATCTGGAAACCAAGAGCAGGACAGATGCAGGTCTGGCTCAGAGGCCCTGGGCAGGTTCCAGGAGAGCAGAGGGGCAGGGCTCACGCAGGATGCAGATGGAGAAGTGCACCCCACGTCTGTGTAACACAGAGGTTCCCTGTGGGCCCTCCACCCAGACACTCGGCAGCGACCTCCATGCCCAGAGCCACACAAGTCCAGCCTTGCGTCACCGAGAGCTGGCTCTCAGCCAGGGCCCGGGGTGAGAAAGAGGGGCTGAGAGGAAGAATGTGGGCACCTGGAACCCATGGCGTGTGAAGGACCACCGGCCCAGACACAGGGGCCCTGCGGGGAGGTTCGCCCTGTCCTTCGGCCCAAGCCTTCTCCAGGTGCAGTCCAAGCTGTGACCTTCTGGTCCCAAGCCCTTTACAGGTGAGATTGTTAGGTCTGGTCAGTCCCTCTGCACAGCCATGCCCAGGCCTGGGAGCTGGGATGCAGGAATCTCAGGTCTGTAGCTCAGGCCTGTCCCGAAGGATGTTCTCAAATGGCAGGGTGTCCAGTAGGTCCCCCAGGAGCACCACTGGCCGCCCCTCGCCCCACTGCACCAGACATGAGATCGCCAAAGACACCAGCGTGCCCCGTGCCAGGAACTCTACCAGCAAGTGTTACTCTGTCAAGAAGAGGAAAGGACTCACAATTTCCGGGTCATCTCTAAGACACCTTTGCGGGCTCAGCCAGCCACCAGCTAAGCACTTGTGGGCTCTGTGGCCAGGCTGGGCAGTGCCTTCTACTCACCTGCCATCAGATTTCTCATGCCACTCAGAGACAAGCTGACCGTGGTTCCCTGGGGCCACCTTGGGTGCCGGCTGCTGTCTGGACCAGAGAACCAGACAACTCACCAGGAAGCGGGCTGCCCTGCGTGCCTCCGCACTCCACTCTACAGACCACCTGCCCCACCTCCAGGTGCATGGCCCAGGACGCCCCGCACCCAGCACATGTGACCCCTGCACTCCTCTGCTTGTGCCACCAATCCCTGCTCAGGGTCTTGGCACCTCCGCTGCGACTCCAGCCCTCTCAGGACTGGGTCATAAAGATCCAAGGTCAGGGCCGGCCCCCCGGAGTGGGGGGGGTCCCACGCATCCCACACTGCTCTGCCCCGCAAAGGAGAGATGAGGGAGAAGCTGAGTTAGAGAGCACACTGTGCCCCCTGGGGTTGGACCTCGGCCACACTGTGCCAGGAGACGGAGCTGGGGGTCAGGGTTTGGAGGACAGAGAAAGGCTACGGTGTGTGCACTACGGGAAAGAAAATACCTGTTGCTTGGGCGGGGCATCTTCGCCGGAAATAGAAAATGCAAGACGTGGATATCTACTCAAACCCTGTGTCTGCCGCAGTACAGGCTCACGGTTTGCTCTTCATTTCCTCTGCTCGTGTATGAGACAGGGACTCTCACGTTTCATACCGAAATAGAAATCCTGCACATGTCTCAGGTGACTGTGCAGTAATAGCCAGGCACACGAGGGCACACAAGCTCCCCCAGAGCAGGTACTCATCCCAGGCCCTCTACAGGGTGCTGTGCTTGGTTGGCTTCACAGGGCTCCAGCTTAGAGTTCAGGGGGTCTTTTGCCAAGCACGGAGACACCTCTGAGGTGGTGGTGGTTCTTCAGGTTTCCTCCCTTGTCCCCAGATCGTTGGGGACAGACAGGGCTTCGTGTGCTCTCTCCTGACGGGCCAGGGCTTTGTCCTCACCTGAGGACACTGGTTCGGCCCCAGCGATACGTGTGGCCCATAGCAGCCGGAAGAAACTGGACGGAGTCCGGCCCACACTCAGCTCTCTAGGCCACGACCCCAGCGCTCGCAGGCTGCGTTTTTCAAGGAGAATTCTTATGTGCTGTTCACACTCCGATGGATCACGGTGGACCCTAACACGGCTTCCGTGTTTGAACCCTGGCCCCTTGGTCCCAGCCCAAGATGACAGAGAATCCGCCCCAGCCCCAGATCAGCTCAGGCCTCCGGAGAGCGCAGAGGGCAAGGGAGGAGGAGGGATGTCCAGGCAGCAGTCGGGGATACCTGCTGTGGGCTTTCAGAGCTGTTATGAGTTGTGCTGATTTACACATGGGTGTGCCCAGATCGGTGACATGTGACTCCTTGAACTCTTTCAGGAACACCTAGCAGGGATGAATAGATAGGTCGGTTGAACGTAATTTCCATTAGTCATTCTTTGAGGACTCTCCATACTGTACTGCTTTCCAGTGGTTGTACTAGTTTATATTTCCACCAGTAATGTAGATGGGATCCTTTTTTCCTCCCAGCTTTGCCAACATTTGTTGCTTTTTTTTTTTTTT